AACTAGAGAGAAACAAGGAGAACCAAGAAAAAGAAAGGAAATATAAGTACAAAATTGGGCTTGGGAAAACAAGGGAGAGGGAGGGAGGCGGAAAAAGACCAACCGACAAACAACCTAATTAACTTGTCAAAAATTCCGACTCCCAAAAAGGAGGAGCAAAGGAACCCAGAACCAAACCGAGAACCGAAAATAAAAGGACCCAAAAACAAACAAAGGACGCCCTGGCACGCCCCTTTTTTTGGGGGCTTGCCTACGTGCCCGGCTTAAGGTTCTATTAAAATTTCAATTAAATATTTCTTTTCCTCGACTCGCTTTCGGGCCTCTGCAGCAATACTTATGTGCTTTAATTATTGTTTTTATAATTATTATAATTATGATTGCGAGACAGAGACCCTCCAGGGGGTTAGCGACAACAACGGCGCAAAATGGAAAGCGATGGAAAGGAAAACTTTTGTACTTGCTAAAAGCCAGTTAAGGGAGAGAGAGAGAAAGCCCTGGCTGGCCATTTTGCACGCAAATGTTTAATTATTGAAAATTCTTGTGCTGCTGTGGAAAGCGGTGAAAAACTGACACAACAAAAATCTGCTTACGTGACTTTCTCCATCTTCGTTTGTGGGTGAGAGACATTGTCGCACATGGTGGAAATGCAAGGAAATGCGCCAGCAGGAAAAGCTAGGCATAACTATACAGGAGGCACTGAAGTGCAGAGAAAAAAAATATGAATAAATGTAAAAAAAAGTAAGTACTAATAACTTTTAATTACCAACTATTTAAATTTTAAATAAATTTAAAACAAAAATAATTAAATATTTGTATACAATAAAAACAACTTATAATTAATAATAATCAATTATCTTAATGTAAAAGAATATATTTTATAATTTACATTGTCATTATAATATGTTGTATATTTTTCAATAATATTATTATTTTAGTATTTTGTAGTGTTCTCAAAAATAGACGCAGACAGCCACTGAGAGTTAAACTAAAGCATTCCCAAGGACCAGCAGACAGACAAAGCCGCACACGTAGATATGTAAGCGAGCGAGTGAGCGACATCCTGCTGCACTTCTCGTCCTTTTTGCCACTAAAAAGGAGCGCCGCAAGCAGTTTGCCTTCAACTTGAGCCAGCACCTTTACATCATTGAGGCACTGCTAGAAAGATTTAACAATTCCAGCATAAATTTCACAATTTAAACAATTAGTTTATAATTATTATATATGTTTTTCTAAAAGATTTCCATTTCTATAAACTTTTCTGACAACACCTAAATATTTTCTAAGATTCCTTGAATATTCCTTCTAGAATATTCCTTCTAGAATATTTAAATCCATAGTTAATAGAAGATTTCTTCCAGTGCCTCGTTGTTACTGTAGCCACGACTTCTCAACGGCGGCGACGGCGGTTTTACGGAGCTGCCATCCGTCTGTTCCACAGTCTCCTTTCGGCTGTCTGGTCTTTGGCTACGTGTCTATTTGAATTTACGCCACTGCTCCACCGGCTTGGGCGGCGATACCCTGTAGTTTGGAGAGTGCCGGACCCAGCCTTTTATTTACATTTATTTTAAGCTGCAACCGGAAACGGAAGTTGCAGCCACACAGAGAGGGATTCTTTTCTTGCAAATTGAATTGAAATTATTTGGCAAATGTTCAGCGAGGCGAAGACAGGAACAGGGAAAAGCACAAAAACTCGGCAACATTTTATGCAAATCAACGCACAGATTTTAGAGGTAAAAAAGAGCAGCAATGCGGGAATGTAATTGAAAAACTGCAGTGACAAATGCATTGCGGTTTTACATACGATTGCCCGTCCGGGGATTTGTGCGTGGCTCCCGCTAAGCGTTTAAGTAATTAAATGCACGCACGTGGCCACTGATAAGGGAGGACTTTCCCCGGAGACCTAGAATCTGGATTCTGGATTTGTGGGGTACTTTGTAAAAAAAAAAACCAAAAAAGCGAGGACTTAATATTGATTGAAGTCGTTGAATTTTAAGAAATTTATAAAATTCGTATATATGTTTAAAATTAAAATTTAATTTTTAAATATTGAATAGGAATAATTGAAAATGAAATTATATTATATAAGATCAATATATATAACAATTTTTCCACATTATGATACCATTGTGAGCGATAAATCGATATTTTATTTAAACAATGTCGGACAAAAATAATCAGAAGAAAAAACTGATAACCTTAATATAATTTTTCGATTATTTTTCGATAATATCGATATTTTAAGGCAGAAAGCAATATTTTTTTGTTTTATTTAAAGATACAATTTAACAATCTAAACACATTTTTGTAAATTTTTCGATAATACCGTTATTTTCGATTTATAAATATACAATAAATTAAATTTTACGATATTTTCGATATTATATATCGGATTTTGCCTTTTAATATACATCCCTGACCTGGTTGAATCGACTCGCCTGGCAGATCTCCTTCTCCTTCCGCATGTGAGCCCACTCAGCCTATATATAAGTACATTTGTGGAAAAAAAAGTAATTTTATAAACAAATTGAAATTAAATTGACCACTTAATCACCACTCAGTGTATATATGTATATACGAGTATTTGTTCAACTCTTTTATATAGCGTTCATCCCTGTCCCAGTCCAGGTTTTCCAGGGTTTATTCCGGGGGAAAAGCACGTAAATCGCTGAATATTTGATGCGGCCTCGATACGGATTTATAATGATTTGGAATCGAAGCCTATAGCCTGTAGCCTGTAAGTTCCCCTGCCAAGAAGTGGTAGCCATAATTATGCGTAAATAATAAATTGTTGCTTTATTGAATTTCATTCCATTTAACTGTTACCACATAATGAGATGTGTATACATGTATAAGAGTGTGGATTTTATGTGTGCGTGTGTTGCTTCTCATTTTCTTCATATATTTTGTTTTATTTCTTGTTTGAAGATTGTTACATTTCCCGTTGCCAAAAATCCAATTAAATTTCTTCCGAATTTGCCAACTTAAGGAGTTTTCATTTAAAGTTATTCTTGACTTTCTAAAATCTAGTAAAAGCTCGTTATCAAATGAAATCATTTTTGTATGAGTAAATTTTACGGGGATAAGTCGCCACTGCGCTTAGTTTTAATTGCTGGAGCTCTTTCTCTTCTATATATTTTTTTTTTGCCTTTCTCTCCTTTGATATGTTAATTACACCGCATTGCATCCTCTCTCTCCTTGGCTTCCGCTTCCGCTTTCTCGTGGCTTTTACAATTTTTTTCTTCCGCTGAGTGTGTGTGGGTGTGTATGTAATGCATTTATTCGTTATGTTTGCCGCTGCCTTCTTTTACTTTTCTACTAAAAGTATTTTGTATTTCTTAAGGAATTGTTCAACTTGTTTTATGTGTTTGAGTGTTTAATTTGCTTCAGACCTTTTTTAAAGTTTTTAAATAAATTTAAATCTATTTAAAAAATTTTAAGGAACTTAGAAAAAAATGTTAAGCAATTTGAAACAATTTTAAATATATTTTAACAATTATAAAGAATTTGAAAATAATTTTAAACAATTTTGAACAATGTAAACCAATTTTAAATAATTTTAAAAATCTTAAACAATCTTAAATAATATTTTTAAATATGCTGTTTTATGTGTTTGCCTGTTTAACTTTCTACAGATCAGCTATTAAATAAATTTAAATCTATTTCTTAACTTTTACCTTCTTAACAAAAATATACAAAAAATCAAATTGAAATTTGTAATTACCTTCTGCCTGAAGCAAAACTTGATAAAATAACTAATTGTCTGCTCATATGTTGCCTTTGTTGATTTTTTTTATTTTGCTATTATTATTACTTTTTTTTTTTTTTTTTTTTTGCTATTTGACCTCTATTATGTATTGCTGTTGTTTAGTTCTGGCTAATTAAGTGTTTGTTGTTGAGTTTTGAATTTTGAAACCTATTTCGATGGACTTGCGTGCAAGGGGCGAGAAGAAAGCGTTAAGCGTTCTGTTTGTATGTGTTGAGTGTGTGGAGAGGCGATTTCTCTAGCAATTTCATCAAACATTAATTTTTTCAGCTAATTTGCACCCAATAGCAATGCTCTGTCTAAAAACTAAAAACACCAATCGAAACTAAGACAAGAATTCAATGTGTTTTTCTGGTTATCACTTTTTGATTTCTAACATCTCTTTGAGTGTCTGTGTATTGGGCGTGTGTATACGTGTGTGTCTACAGGTGTGTTTTTGGTGTTTATTTGCTATTTATACACACAAAAAAAAATTACCGGGTTTCGCTTAATTTTTACATTTTTTTTGTGCTTTATTTTTGTTCTTTTTCTTTTTAATTTTCTTGTTTTTATTTATTTAATTTTATTGTTTTATTCCTCTAACGTTTACCGTTTAAATGTTTTTGGTTTTTAAATATTCACCACAAAAAAAATATCTTTACGACAATTATCTCTAGATCTTTGATTCGCCTCCTCTTGTTCCTTATAGAACATAAAACACCAAAAATAATACATCCGAAAGCGGCGACTATAATATAGTACTAGATTTATGTTGATTTTTTTTTGTATTTTATTTTTGTTTTTTATCTGGGGGTAACAGGTCTGAAAATGGGAAAGGGAATTATTCAATCGAAGGGTTTATACATTTTGGAACTATTTTTCTTTTCAATATTACAATATTTTCTTTTCTTTAACTTAAAAAAAAATCGCTTTAATATCAGTCTAAGGTTTTCTACTAAATTTAAATTTAAGACAAACGAAAAAAGCCAAAAAGTATGCAATGATATTTTTACTTTAAATTTTCAGAGATTTCAAACCTAAACAAAAAATGGATTATGTTTTAAAATTTAAAAAGTCACCAAAAAGTATGCAATCATATTTTACTTAAAATTTTTTTAGATTTTATAACCTCTTGATAATATTTCTATATAAAAGTCTTGTAAAAATGCTCCGAAATTGTTGAAAAGTCAAAAAGTATACTATTATATTTTTTTTACATTTTCAGAGATTTTAAATCGCCTAAAAACTGTTAAATATTTTGTAATGGGAATTTTCACGCTTTTTATAAATAAAACAATTTAATAATATATTTTGAAATCAATTCAATTTGATATTTTTGTTGAATATTTTAAAAGCTCTGTTAGTTTAAAACAGAATGTCCCCTTTACGACCTCAATTTTTCAATTTCTCTTTTCCAACCCCCGTTACCTTCTCAGCGATACTGCGCCTCCTGCTATATATGCCTGTCATTACCCTCCAGCTCACGTCCTATCCAGCTGCGGCGGCCTAAGGCATCGGATAGTGATTCTGCTCAAAGTCTTTGTGTCGCTCGCCCAGCGACCTGTCCAGCCGCCGATCCGTGATGGCCACGAACGGCAGCCGCGACTGCTTGCCTCTGCTGCTTCCGGCCAGGCCAGAGCCAATGCCTCCACCGATGCCGTTGGCCATGCCGATGTCATCCACGACGCGATGGTAAACGAAAGAGTTCAGAGGCGATGGTGCTCCTCGTCCACCGCCGCCACCGCCTCCTGGAGGATTGTCTCCTCCTCCGGCTGGCTTCTCGGCCGTAGCATTCACCGTTGTCTCCAGACGGGGCCAACTGTTTTGCCCACGGCCCGCCACATTCGCCACAAACTGAGCGCTCCGGCTGCGACTGCGCGGCGTTCCCAGGAAGCTGCCGGCAATGGCCGGATACGAGGGTAGCTTGAACAGAGCCGGCTTCGGTGTGGATGTAGACGTGGCAGAGGCCTTGTTGGCCATTTCCCGCTGCCAAAAGTCCAAAGCGGCGGAGGCGGGCGCCGGATCTGGGTGCTCCTCCACGGAATCCGAGGCGGCCACATCTTCCTCCGGCAGATGATTGCTGGCCGTGGTTGTAGACGCCGTCCGTCGCTCCTCCTCGATCTCGTCCTTGTACTCCTCATCCTTGAATACTCCATCGTTGAGCTTGAGCGGCTTTATGACCATGCCACTGCCCACGTAAATGTAGCTAGCATCTTTGGTGGAGCTCTTCTCCTTGGCCGCAGGCTGATAGTGACTTTCCGCCAGGGTGGGCGTGGTTACGGGCGATGTCTCTGTGGCATTCAGGTGACTCCGCTGCTGGGCAAACAGATCAAAGCGCTGCTGGTGCTGATGCTGATGGTAGCGACGCCGCTTCTCCTTTAGATACTCATCGTCCAGCCGGATCCCGGACTCGGTGCTGCTACCCGGTGGCGGCGGGGCATTGGTGGGCGTGGGCAGGGTGCCTTCGAGCAGGTTCAGCAGTTGCTTGTTCCTCCTATTGTACTTTTTGATATACGGCGGCAGATTGGCGTCCTCGCCGCGTTCCTGCTGGGCCTCCTCCAGCTCGGCGGCGCTCTCGTAGTCGTCCTCGTAGTCGCTGTACAGCTCCGGGTGCGATTCGCGGTAGTGCTCGTCGTAGACCTGGAACTGCACTCGGGCTAGATGCGGCCACTTGGCATAGTAGCGCTCTAGGTGCTGTAACTCGGTGATCTGGTGTCCCAGCTGAGGCTTTGGTGGCGGCAGCGGCGGCGTCGGCGGCGGAGAACTGGTGGCACTTGCTCCTCCTGGGGAGATCTGGGCGGGCTTCCTTTGGTAGGGATTGCTGGGTCGCGATCGCAGGCTGCCTGACGTAGCCTTCTGGTGATGACTGTGCTGGCTGCGATGGTGGTTATAGTGGTGGCTATGCTGGTGGTGATGGTGGTTAGCCAAGTGCCCGCTGTGGTGGTGTTGATGGTGCTGGTGATGATGCTTCTGGTTTTCGCCAGTGGTTTTGACACCATTGCGCAGCACTGGACTGATCCGGCGATACCAGTTTCCATTGTCGTGGGCTATCAGCCGCTCCATCTCCGTGCGATGCTTCAGATCCTCCTCCAGCTGCTGCTGCTGCTCTTGCTCCTGCTCCAGCTGATGGTGATCAAAGTAGTTGACCTGGCCCTCGTAAAACGGTTTCTGGGGTCTCAAACCCACTGCGAATATGGGCGGTGAGTGGGAGGAAAAGGAACGTTCCCTCCCCTTCTGCCTCTCCTTCTGCAGCTTCTGGAGATGTCTAGCCGAGGCCGTGGGCTCTGGCGGAGGAGCTGTCCCGGCTGGCTGGCGCTTTAAATAGTCCTTGTAGCGCTTCTTGTGGCTCTTGTGTCCCGTCCGCTGGCGACTCCTTCGAAGAGCCTTGAACCGCTCGAAGGCGGACTCCGGGGCTGAGGTTGGTGACTCGGTGGTGTCTGGAAAATAGGAAAGAGTCCTTTGTTAGTCTCGGCACGCTGCTCCAGGCTCGGAAGTAATAGATTTCTATTAGGCCAAAGGACAGCCGAAGGCAATGGGTATGTGTGAGGGTGTTTCGGAATATGGAAATGTTTACATTAAAAAAAATTCTAACGAAAAATGTATTCAACAAAAATTGTAATATTTATTCTTTGTATAAATTCAAGAACTTTAAAACGCTTTTCAAAATATATAAAAATTCTCTCATGGTCCAGGGTATCTAATGTTTTTCCTAGAAGTGCTGTGGCTTTCCTTCTTTCATCCGATTTGACCCGGCTTAGTCCTGCTCTGGGATCCTTACAAACCGCACAAATCCCACCGTCTCCCCCTCCACTCGTCGTCATACAAATTCATTTCATTTTGATTTGTGTTCGCGAGGGAAGCACCTTAAATCATGGAGACATAGCTGCACTCCATGGCTGAACTTGCCTGGCAACCCTCGCTTTTGGTCTTCTGACAAAGTCCAGGCACGTCCTATTCCTCGCACCCCCCCTTAAGAAGTTCATTTCTGGGCCAATCCCCTGGACAGATTTAGCTTGCTTCGGAAATCCTTACCCATATATATATATACACACGATATTTGCTATTTTGTGAGCTTTATTGCTTAATGCCAAGGAGGTTCCCTCCTGGGGTAAGCAGGAAGCACAACTTTTTCCGTTTGATTTCTTTTCGTTTTTCGCCAATGAAAATGAAAATTGAAAGAAAATTTGCATAAATTTGAGGGAAAAGCTAAACTAATTAGGGCAAACCTCCAGGGGCGTTTTTACCGCCCCTCTTTAAGCTTTTATTAAAGACACTTTTCCAACTCTCATTTGTCTGGGGAATGCTTTGGGGATTTCCCTTACATATTTTCAATTTACCACACACACATCCCACACAAAGCCTTTGATGGGATCTCTAACTGAGGTCCAGATACCGCACTGTGGAATGCGGCAGCACAGTGGGCCAAAGGCTGAAATTCCAGCTGGGGAAAAAGTATGTGGATCAAAGTGGAGAAGGGGGAAAGCATGTGGATATACACTCGGAGAAAAAAGTAATAAAACTGCAGGAAAATGTTGCGCCAAACCCAATAATAAATACAAATGTTTCTTGGAACTTCTAGTATCCGATTTTGATAAATCTTCTTCCGCTGACTTACCCTGATGATATCGCTGCCAAGCTGTGCTCAATTTTCCATCATTTAGTCCCACCTCGGACTTTTCCTCCTCCTCTTCCTGCGGCGGCTGCTGTTCGGCATAGTCATCGTCCACGAAACGCGGCTGCTGTAGCTTCCTTGCCGTGGAGGAGCCCAAGATGTCCTCCTGTAGATCCTCTGACCTGGCCGTATCGAAGGTGGCCAGCTTCCGCTTTATGTTGCCATTGTCGTAGTAGTGCATCTCACCCAAATTCAAATCCTGATCTTCCTCACTATCCTGCTGCTGCGCCTCCTCCTCCTCCTGTTCCTGCTGCCGTATCCTACCAATCTCATAGTTGCTGCCATAATATCTGCTCTCCGATGGTATTGGCCTCTGTAAGCCAAAGACATTGCCGCCGTGACGCTTCTGTTTGTGGCCAATTGTAGGTGTTGGTGTTTTGGTTGTTGAACTGCTTGTGGTGGTTGTTGGTGTTAAAGTTGTTGTTGTAGTCGTTGGTGTTGTTGCTGTGGCTCTGGTTGTGGTTGTATCTGTTGTTGTTTTTGGAGTTGCTGCTGTTGTTAATGCGACACTTGGGTTTTTCTTGTTGGGCAATCCATCATTGTCATGGGGTAACTTAATGTCCAGGCTCTCGCTCCCCTCCTCATCGCCTTCTCCATCAACATCGTCGTCGTCGTCGTCGCCGTCGCTATCGTTGTCTGTTGGCAATACTTCATCATTATCCAAATTGTCCTCAATATCGCCAATGGCCTCATCCACCTGTCTGGCCCCGTGCTGCTCCTGCTCCTGGCCGCCGTTTGGCTTATTAAATTTTCGTTCATTTAATATTTCAATGGAATCGAACAGCTGCGACTCCTCAAGTAGTTGTTGCTGGCCATCGTCGCCACGCTTCCGTTGCTCCTTTGGCAGCTGATGTTGCTCCTGTTCCTGCTGCTGCTGCTGCTGCTCCTTCTGATGCTGCTGTTGATTTTGCTGTTCGTGCATGTTCTTAAATTTTTTATACGCAAAACTTTGCCTGCCAAAGTTCGCGTTGTCCTCGTCGCCGGAAGTGAACGTTGTACCACCTAGAGGAGGAGTTTCTTCGCCGCCTTCTGCGCCATCGGTAGCCTTAGTTGCCTTAGTCGCCGGCTGGTTCTCCTTATTGTTTTTCAATTTGTAGTTGTAGTGGCTTATATTGTTCTTCTTCTCCTTGGCCCTCTTCTTGTTGCTATTGTTGTTTTGGTATTTCTTGGGGTCCAGGTAAACACTAAAATTCCTTGAAGTGGGCCTTTGAGATTCAAGTATCTGAAAGCGAACAAAAATTTTTGGTATTAGTCCGGTATTTCAAGGTGATCTTAGCGATATACTGGAACTAGAGGTTCTATGAAAAAGGTTGGTAAAATGTAAGGTAAGCTATTTAAAAACTATTCTAAATTACTTTAAATTGTTGTAAAAGTGTTCTGGATCTTAAAATTAAATTCAAGGCATTTTATTATATTTTTAAATTTAAATTTAATTAAATTTTAATAATACAATTATTGAATTTAAATTTCTCTGTTAAATTGTTATTAGCATTTTAAAATTGTTTAAAATTCCCTTAAATTCTAGTAACTATAATAATATTAAACAATTATTTAAATTTTGATTTTTTATATATTTTAAGATTTTAAGATTTTGTTATTAAATAAATCAAATTAAGTAAAAAACCATTGACCATCCACCTAAATAAACACAACATTATTTGTTAGAAATGCTTCGATATAAAGGGTATAAGTACGAAAAAAAGATCGGAAAAAAGCAAACTAAATTCGAAATAAACTCAAAGAAATCTCCGCCTTAGAAGCTCCCTTTTTAAGGATGTCAGGACGAGCTCCTAGCCGAGGTGTGTGTGTGTGTGTGGCCTGCACATGTGCAGTTTAAGACAATAAAATGAAACTTTCATTTCGTGCCCGACTTGAGTGTCTGCAAATCGTTGATTAAGGGATGAGTGGGAAGCGGGGGGAGGGAAAAGTAAGGTGAGGAGGCGGGAAAATGGGAAATTCAAAGAAATTGACAGTGCATCGAGGTGGTAAGGGAACTACTGCCGAAGTGGAGCCAGCACTACATATGTTGGGTTAAGTGCACTTCAAAGTGATAAAATCTGTTTTTCAATTTCTTTTTTAAGTCCTCCAATTTATAGCTTATTTTTTTATTTTAAATTTGCCATAGTTTTATTTTTTAAATATTACTAGTAATATTCTTCTTTTTTTTATTATTTTATATATTTGTTTCCCTTCTTTCACCTCTGATTTTTTTATTTGCCAATTATTTGTTAGGCTTAATTTTGGTTTCAAAAATGGTTTCAAGTGCCTGACCCTGGGTTGGTCTCATTTTTTGCTCAAGTGACTTTCAATGCAGAGATTGAGCCTGGGCCACCGCTTGGCCCCCTTTTCGCCTTCATAATATTTCTGGAAAAGTAATCTGACTTGGCCGCTCGCATTGTGCGATATTTGAATGGACACCCCGATCCACTGGCCCCCATATTACCCGGCCCTGGGTTCAATAGAACTGACCTCGTTCGGCACGGACTTGAATGTAGGCTCGGGCCCTCTATAAAGCTCGCTCTTATATTTGTTTGTGTGCCCTCAAAAAAAAAGTGCTATAAGCTCAAAACTACACAGAGGGAAAAAAGAAGTAATTTAGTTGAAGAAAAATATAAGAAAAAGCTTGAAAATACTTTAAAAATGAAGTGTCTTGAAGGTTGAATTTAAATTAAGTTAAATTCAAAGTCAATTTTAAATTAAAAACGTGTATAGTTATAATATATTAAAAAAAAATATATACACATAATATTTAAGCACTGAAGAGTTGCATTTACAATTTTTTTAAATTCTTCAAAAATGAATTTCCCAATCCAGGACTCAAATTCTTGTTGAACAGTGTAGGCAAAACATTGAGTAAATATAAATTTCTTAGAGTGCAGAGACACAGACATATGTGTGTGTGTGCGTGCGTGTGTGTACTCACAATATCAGCTGCCTCGGATGCATCCTCATCCTCCTCTCCATCATGCTCCTGCCCATGCTCCATCAGGCCAAGTCCTGCATCCTCCTCGTCGTCGTCGTCGTCGACCTCCTCCTCCTCTTCGTCTGTGCCAGATGGAGCTGCTGCACCAGATGGAGCAGGAGCATATTGCATCTGGGGCGAGACGAGGTCCTCATCCTCGATGTCGCCATCGTGCTGGTCAAATATGTCCTCCGGAATGGTGGCCTCTTCTTGCAAATTGAAATCTGTGAAGGAGCAAGCGAGAAGAGAATTGAGCGGGTGAGGGGGATAGATAGAAAGAGAGATAGTTGAAGATGTACAGATGAGGTCAAGTGAATGCAGGTAATCCTGAGTAAACATATGTTATTTATGTTTTAGTGAAATGTGTGACAATTTATGGAAGATCACACAAGGGTTGGAAAAACGATTGATATATCGATACTGTATCGATTTTTAATTCGATATGGGCGATGAATCAATATTATGTTAATTTATCTGAAGACCTAACTTTGAACTGTAATTTTTGGATGTAATTATTTCGTTTTAATGACGTTTTAAAAAAATCTAAAAATATCGATAAAAAATTGTATATTGTTTTTATAACGATAAAATATTTGCCTACATATTAAGGATATTGTAGATATCTATATAAAAGTTATTATTTCGATAATATCTATTTTTAAGCGTTTTTTTTTTAGATTTCGACAGAAAAACATTTCCGATATTTTCGATATTAATTCCTCTGTTAATGCATATATAGAAGAATTATTGAGTCTGATTATACGTTCCTGATTTTACCTGCACCATTTTTTTGATCACAATTGTAGTGTTATCTGCAGATATGCAGGAGGTGAGATCCGCCAATGCCCGGGGGCATCGTTCAGGTGGGTAACCAGAAAAAAACCCCCCTCAAGGAGCGCTCCAACAATAAAATAACACAGAAAAGGTCAGCAGCTATAGTATCTCAAGTGCGCTGCGTTGGCAAAGGAGGCAGACACGAGTGTGTGTCCCTTTGCCTTTTACTTAAATAAAAGTAAGCTGCTTGAATTGACTTCCACTTCGGGGATACCAGTGTATTTTATATATGCAGATGTATGTAGATACAGATACATAGCCGCATGCATGACCTGAACAAAATGGGTTTTTACTCATAGTTGAATAGACAGGCATTTCTTTTCTATTTTTCTTTTTTCTTTTTATTTCGTGGTGCTGGTGGCTCTTTTATGCTCTGTCATTGACTGAATTGCCATTTGGGGAAACTCAAGGAGGCAAGGTCCTGGCACATACACACACACACACATGCGAGATTAAAATAAAAATGGTATAATGTTGTGCCGGTATCTCTCGCTGTGTGTGTATGTGTGTGGAGCCAAACGAGCGATAAAAGTCAACGCAAATTGCCAGTGAAATTTTCTTAAGAACACTGAAATAAATTATATGTAAAATTCAAAAAAATAAACAGAAGAACAGTTTTAGATGATATATCGACAAATATTATATCGAAAATATCCAAAAATTGAATCTATTAAAATTTAAAAAATTGATATTATCGAGAAATTAGCAATTTACGAATATATTTTTTCGATTATTTTTTGTATAATATATCGAACATATTATCAATTTATCGCACATATGTATATATTGCAAAGATAAAATATCGATTTATTTGTGTGCAAGTGTCATTACATCAATTAACAATTATTTCCTTTGTAGAAACACACATTTTTCTTGCCCTGCAATCGGCTTTGAGTGCATATTTCCAGACACCGCTACCTTGTCTTCACTTTCTTTCCCCGCATTGGCCTTGTGGGTTGCTTTTCCTCTTTTTCCTCTTTACCCACGGACCATTGTCCACACCTGGCGGCGATCTAGTAGCGACCTGGCGGGTTTTCGGGGCAAGTTAATAATTCGAGCGGACCAGATGTTGCCATTGCTAGGACCCGCCCTCAAAATATGGTGATTTTATTCAGCACGCCCTTTATAATTGTCGCTCTTCATCGTCGTCGTTGTCGTTGTCGTTGTGTGCCCAACTAATTAAATTCTTTTTACTGTGATTAAATTAACACAAGCTCCGCAAATACACACAGTGAATCTCCGGAGACGAGCCTACCCGCCCCCACAGTAAACACTGGAAGAAGCGCCCCAGGCAGGAGCAAAAGTTGAACCGAAGAGCGGGAAAAAAATGTGAAATAAAATCACGCAAATGCTATTTATGTCCCTCGACACGTTGTTGTGTGTGGGTGTGTTAAGGAGAAAAAAGAGAGTGGATGGGAAGCGGGCGTGAAGATGGCGGAATGAGTCGAGGAATCGGTGGGTGGTGGCGCCGCTCAAGAGGGCTTCGCATTAGGGTTATCGTCACGGTGGCACAGTGGGCAGAAACAGGAAGTTGAGGTAATAAAAAATATATTTTTTAGTTTTTAGTACAAAGAAATATGCTAAGGTGTAGCATTAAGAGGACCTTCTGATATTAAAGGTCTCGATATTTTTAATATTTTTGCAGTTCTTTTAAATTGAATCTTTCCTCTTGATATATGTACTTAAATTTCTAAGAAGAATGTATTGATGATTATTCGTTTGATATTTAATATTCCGGATATACGAACTTAATATTTTTTTCCCCCCTCTTGATTTTCTCAGAATAAAAGATCTCTAGATATCCTGGATATACATAGAGTAACCACAGTGCCTTGGTGTGTCATCATCGCCTTTGTTGCCCGGTCGTCAAGTGGTTGGCTGCTTCATCTGTCCTTACCGCCCAACCCTGCGTATCCGTGCACTCCCCTCTTCGCCGCCAGTGTTGCTTCTTCCCTGGCCACGACTGTTTCATGCCGTAATGAATAAATGTCGCATTAATTTGCACGCAGACCCGGTCGAGGACGATCAGGGGACGGGGAGGAAAGGCCTGTCAAGGCAAGGGGGGTAAGGGGAACAGTCTTTGGCACGTTTTCCACTGACTTTGCTTGCGGAACGCTTGTTTTTTGCCATGCATAGCTTGGCTAGGCAAACAACGCAAATCCATGCCAAACACACACGCTGTGCGTGGTACGTGTATGAATGCCATATGAAATCGCGTAAACAAACTGACCCCTTGCCACCCCCGCCCCTGGTTGCAGCTCCCCCCCCCTTAGCCAGCGTTGCATATTTGAATTTTGTGGCACTCTGGAGTTTAATTATTATGGTTGTAATGAGCTTGTTGCATATTTTAGCAGGCCCACGGTTCACGGTGTCCCTTAGCCTCGGCTTCCGCTCTGGTTTCTCTCTTCCCCCATCCCTCTATTCCATTTTCCATTTTCCCTCAAACACCCTTTACTGCAATTTCCGCTATCCACTTTGGGCTAATTAATAAACAGACGAGCAGTGGACACTGTGGAGCCCGAACAGATGATGCTGTTTCGCGGCGGGATTTTAGCAACGCTCATGCCTTAATTAACCCATTATGGCCTGTTGATTTTGGGCCATCTTTTGCACCTTTGGGCTGGCACATAATTATGCAGCGATCTATTTGCCATTCAACTGAGCAATTTATAAACATTTTTCGGGGTTTTCCCCCCTAGCTTGCCCCTTTTTTTTTCTTTTTGGAGCTAAACGCAAAAGCATTGCCTACTTTTTCGGGCAAAGGTAAAGGCCATTTTTCACAGAACCGCAGAAAGGAAAACTAAATTGAAAGGAAATTAGATTATTACAAAGAACAAGGGGGAAAAGGTTTAAAAAATTTACTAAACTAAGATGTAAAGGAAAACTAAGCTGTTGAAATATGTTTTTGACTACCAAAAAAAGAAAAAAGAGACAACAGTTTGCGGGGAATGTTGACTTTAAATAACAAAAATTCATATATGGTATTTATTACTTTTTAGTTTGATTTTATTGATTTATATGTTTTAATTATGTTTATATTATTATTTTATATTTTTGTATATTTAATTTATATTTATTTTGCTTATATTTGTGTATAGGATATTTGTTTTGTCTTATCTTTCAATGCCTCACCTCAGACTTGGCTGGGATTCATCGAGGTTTAATTCCTTCCATTGCAGAGATTTTTGTTGTTTTTGCAGAATTTTATTATGAACTTTCACCTTTGCAGCGAAGTGAGACTTTTCCGCGGTCATCTATATGGGCGGTGAGGCACACGTCACAGGTGAACACGAGGGAAGGCGAGCACTGAGAGGCTGCGGCAGAGGTGCCTCTATTTATAGGTAGCCAGAGGGAGAAAGGTTGATCGAGAGAGAGAGAGGTTGATCGATTGAAAGACACGTCAGCGTCTGAAACCGGAGCTGAGAACGCGCTTTCATACAATCAGTTTATGTGTGTGTGTATGTGTTTGTTTCTTTGAAATTATCAGCTCGCTTATCAGCTCCGCTCTCAGCTCAGCTCTCAGCTCTGCTCTCAGCTCTGCTCTCAGCTCTGCTCTCAGCTCTGCTCTCAGCTCCGCTCTCAGCTCTGCTCTCAACTTGTTGCTTTGAAATTTTCAGCTCGCTTATAAGCTCCGCTCTCAGCTCTGCTCTCAGCTCCGCTCTCAGCTCTGCTCTCAACTCTGCTCTAATCTGAACCTCTCCTCTCCTCTCCTACTCGCACGCAGCCTCAGTCAGTGCGCGTCTCTCTCGTGTGTATCTTTGACGTGTTCAACTCAGCCCTTCTGGAAGACCCCTGAAAAGTGTCGCATTGCTGCAAAAGTGCAAGTTCATCTAATAATCGTGCAAAGTAACCAAGAATCTCTGGAATACACGGACTTAACCATCTATGAATCTCAGCCAAGTCTGCGGTGTGGCGATGGAAGGTAACTGAGTGCCTTCTAATTGCAGGTACGTCCAAGCCAAAATTTAAATTGATGTTGAAGATGCGTAATCTATTATGTCTAACTGCTGTTCAACTAAGAGCTGCTTACGATTTATGCAATATATCTTATATATTTTATACATATATTGAAATTTTGGGAATATCATTATAATTATTCTCATCCTGGGCATACACTTTAAAAAGGAATTAAGCCACCTACACTTATCTTCGTTAGTCTTAATATATTCTCCGTTAATGGGGTATTTACCTCTGATATATTATAGATATTATTCAGATATTAAATTATGGCAAAAATTTCGAGTCATTTGAGTGTGTAGATGGCGCTCCTTTGTGCCATATGTACGTGGGAGTATCTGTGTGAATGAATATCCTCTTGCCATCTGCCCATATGCCAGAGCTAGTTCCCGTGCCGTTGCCTGTCCTGTCCTGTGCTGCTGCTGGGTTTGAG